ACCAGTGCACGTGCTCACATGCCCAAAATCCTGATGGGGGAAGTGGGGGAAAGGGATTGCAGTGTAACCATGCCCAGTGGGAATTCTTTCTCTCCGTCTCTATCTCTCTCTGGTGAGTGCATGTACCCTCTGGCAAATTAGAGAGTGAGCGAGCGAGTGAGAGAGCGAGAGAGAGAGCGCATACATGCAGAACACTTAGAACCGTGGTGACCCCCACAAGTGCTCAGTGAGGGGCCGCTTCCGTGAGGGTCTATGTTGTGACTGGTAGCTGGGTCCTGCAGATCTCCCCAGTGGGTTTCCACATGGACTCCCCACTTCACCCTCTTCCTGTTCTCCAGTCATCAGAACTCCTTGCAGTTCCCCAAACGTGTCCTGCTCTCTGCCGCCTTAACAGACCCCACGGGGACAGCCCGCTGACTGCAGCCCCACTTCCTACCTCCCGTCTGCTCCTCGGCTGGCCCTCTTCTGTCCCCTAGCCGCAGACTGCTTTCAGTCATAACTGGACACAGAAATTGCCTTGAACTTTGGGAGTAGGAATGCGCCCCAAGAGCCAGGCTGAGCACCGTGAGGCTGGCAGGGGGTGGTCCTTGCATCCCGTCGGCACTTGGTGATAGTTATTTTGTCTGCCAGGGACTTGTTTTTGCGTAAGCTCTGCAGCCTGTTGCCCGTGACACCAAAGGTCTGAATTGCTAAGATTGGATGCAAATCCGCAGAGTGACAAAGGACTGCTCTAACTGGCTGTGACTTCCCTAGTACTGCAGACAGTATTTTCCAGAAATTCTTCTCTTACTTGCCCCTCACTGCTAATAATGTTCTGTGGCTTGGGAGTCCAGTGGCTGAATTTCTCCCTCCCAGCAGTGCTCCCTGCTTCTCCCAGACACCCAGCTGACTCCCCTAAATGCGTCGTCAACGGCCACCCAGATGTTCCGCTCTTACAGATCATCCCCGGGCGTGGGTCATGATAGTGTAGAATGCCTCTCCGGCATGATGAATGCCCTTGTGTGACGGTAGCGTGGCCTTCCCCTGTGAGGATGCCAAGATAAATCACTGCTCAGCACTCGTTAGCTGTCCGAGGCCAGGACCCTTAGAGTGACCTCTTTCTTTGATAGGCAACAACAGCAAAGCTCAGGAGGTGAGGTGACTTTCTCAAGGTCACCTAAGTCAGAAATTACCTAAATCGGGACAAAAATCTAGATTTCTGTTTTTTCACTTCTGCACTTTTCTCAACTCACCAAAGGCTCTTCTAAAAATTAAGAAAAAAATGAATTATGCGAAAATATGCATAACAAAGTTCCCAGCTTAACCAGTTTTCAGCGTCCAGTTCCGCGCCATTAAGTGTAGTCACACTGTGGGACATCACCACCGTCCATGTCCAGAACCTCTGTCATCTTTCAGAGTTGACTATCGGTACCCGTTAAGCCCAGTTCCCCATGTTCCACAATCGCAGCCTCTGACAGCCACTACCCTACTCTTTGTCTCTGAGAATTTGACTACGCTAGGTTTATCGAGGAAGTGTTTGTGTGTGTCCAGTTTATCTCACTTGGCATCGTGTAGCATATGTCAGAATTTCCTTCCTTTTTAAGGTTGAAGCATTTTTCATTGTAGTCCTGCTCCTTTAAGACCATTTTCACATCTTCCCAGAAAGGCTTCCTGCCCAGTAGTGGAATTTTGAATGGGTCGACTTTCCTGGTCGCATTTCCTAAATACCCACTAGGGGGCAGTGGAAGATGCATACATTTTTCAATACGCCGATGAACAGGGAGCAATCAGGCCACTGCATCACCGCATATCTCTTTCAGCTGTCCGTGTATATATAGTTACAAGATAATGGATTTCATGTCCAACAGCAGGTTTGATAAATCTGCAGATATCATCAGCTGTAGCCTAAGTGCAAGTCTTCCCCGCAGTCTGGCTAACACCAGTGCGCAGAACTGCATTCATGCTGGTTTCAGATTGTGGTTTTATTTCATCAACTTTAGTCCAGTGATTCTCAGAACGCACAGTCAGAATCACCGGTGGTGCTTCTTCCAAAAGACATATTCCCAAGTCTCGTGCTGTATCTATTTAATCAGAATTTCAGGGCTGGAGCCCCGGTGTATAGACTGCCTTTTGATTCTGGTCCATGACTTCTTGTTAAGAACTGGTGCCTTAACTCCTAACCTTAATAACTGGGAGGAAAGGGTCAGCCTTGAAAACCTCAAGGAGACTGAATAGGAATTCTGAAAAATCTTTTTCCTTTTAACAGTGGACGCAGCCAAAGGATTTAGTGACTATGGGACCCACGTGATGAACAACTATGAGACTTTTCCTAGAAATATGCTTGTATTTTAACAACCTGGGAACCCAGACAGAAGACTGGAAACTGGGGTAGTCCTGGCCAACTCCAGGTCCATAGATCCAGTTCTAAGACCACCATGGTCAGTGGCCAGATCCTTAGGTGTGAGGCCAGAGCTCAGACAGCAGGACCGTCTGGTCTATTAAGAAACTCTTCCCTATACGTAACAGGAGAAAGGGAGACCTTTCCTTTGATTTCATCAGAAGTAAAAATGGCACTGAAGTAGAGTCAGGACACTTTGGTTCTCATCCCAGCCATCCCACTAGCCAGTTATGGGACCCAAGGCAAGTCTTGTCACCTCTTTCAGCCTCAGCTTCCAGTTTGAATTACGATGCTGATCTCTGAGGATCGTTCCAGCTCTAAAAATTCAATGATTTTATTAGTATTAATAATCGTGATTTGTATGGTGCTACTGTGGCAAAGAGCAGCAGAAATATTCAGTAATGCAGTGAATGACAGAGGCTATTGACCATGTAGTTTAATTTATTTAAGGCATATAGCTGAATTCAAAGGAGAAAATATTGCTCCTGATAATATATTGAACTGTTAATATCTTCGGCATGGCAAAAGCTTTCCAGAGGGAAAAATTACCCATCAGTGCAAACTTGACATTTTTCACTTCCTGATCTAACTGCCATTTGTCTAGCACACTTCTATTTACTGTAAAGGGCCAAGTGTATGAACGCTTTGGCTGAATATTAAATAACTACGTAAACGTCAAGGTCACGAGTTGTAAGACAAGGCTCACTGGAGGGCCCTGGGAGGCTTGCATTGATCCCTTGTGAAGTTCCATTCTCAAATCTTGCTGACAAGGGGAAACAATTGATGTGGACCATTATTAAGGCTTTAAGTGTTTCTCCGTTGTTAAAGATCTTTTACAAGCCCAGAATAACTGATAATGCTCAAGGAATCGGCAAACACTTCACTTAGACATATAGACTGGTCAAAGAGATAAGTCCAAGCAGTGCGGATGTCCTGGGTTGAGCCTTCGCCGGGAAAGGTGGAGAGGCAAGAGTCCAGCCCTGGGCATGCCACCAACTCAGCCAGCAGGAACACTGTTCCCAGTGACAGAGTTCAGACACCGCAGACAGTATGGCTCCGTCTTTCAAATCCATCTTTATATTTCCTCCAGCTCTTCTCCCACCATTTCAGTACATCCATTCTCCACAAAGCATCTCACAAGTGTCCTGGGGAATCGGGTGTGTGTGAATCACACAGACCCACAAGTCTGGGCTGACTATGTGGACTGATCGAGTGGCCAGATAATTAATGATGTGAGCGTCCTGATGACCTGGAGCTGGGAGGAAAACAGATATGGTGGATGACAGAATCATGTTGCAGAGAGAGCTCAGCAGACGAATGGAATGGCCACGTGAACTAGGTGAATTTAATGAAGATCAAAAATGACAAGAGAAACATTTCCTGTGCACAAACTCTGTGTCTGTTTGGTAGTATGCTTGGCTCTTTGCACATTTTAATGTATTTCATCTTTGTAATGAACCAGTGAGGGTAGGCTTTTATATCTGCATAAAACATTTTGCTAGAGGCTATATATGCTCGCTGGAGAGAGAGTGAGATAGAGAGAAAATGAGAAAATACCTCCTATAGGGGGCAACCACACCATAATCCTTTTTCCTCCATTTCTTTTTTTGAGATTTTGGGCACACATGCACGTGTTCCCAGCTTGTGTCTCAAGGTTCCTGGTCTGGGACTCGAGCTACACACTCAGCCATGTGAGATACAGCCGCCTTAACTGTCCTACCTCCAGCCGGCCCACTATCCCCAATTTTAAAATGGGTAAGCAGTGGCATGGTACAAGAGCGCTTTAGAGCTGTTGATCTAGATTCTCATACCCGTTCTGCCCCACATTTCTTTACCTTTTAAAAATTGAGATAGCAGGGCCAGGCTGCAGTAACACAGCTGGACCCCCATGGGGGAGGTCCTGGCACACTGGGCACGCGTTGTCCTATAAAGACCTTGTTTAGGGCTGCCTGCCTCTTTCTCTCTGGTCTCTCTCTCTCTCATGGCAGAAATAAGTAAATAAAACTAAAAAAGAAATAATGGTAAAACTCGTGTTTTATTGAAAAGGAAGGCAGGGTTACCATGAGTAACTTGCCCAAGGTCACACAGTAAGTAGCAGAGGCAGGATCTGAGCCCAGGCAGTGTAACGCCAACGCTCTCACGCTCACCAACTGCTGCCCCGTTTCCAGTGTTATGAAAGGGAACAGCCACATTGTCTGTGCTGGATGGGATGGCATTTGTAATGTGCCCCGTACTGTGCCCAGTACATCGTAGGCACTTGAAATGGCATCAGATCGCCATCACTATCATTCTCGTGGTTATTATTCATTATTATGCTTATTATTAGTTAGTAATAACTAATACATGACTTGCTTGACATGATGGCTCATAATTTGATCCCAAGTCTTGTGACCACCAATCCACGGTGCTCTCCATCTCCCCCGGAGCACAGGACCGAGGGCAGTCCGTAAGTCACGTCTCAGCAACCAGCACAATGCCAGCCCCGTGGATGCTCAGTGAGTGCGCAGAGAAGCAGGGTTCCTTTTGTTGTCCATGCACCCCTTTGCCAAGGTCCTGCTCTATGCTGGGGAGCCAGAGAGGAAAAGACCAGAATGATGATCCTCTTTCTCCTCCCCACCCCCAGGTTCAAATGGTGAAAGACGGTGACCCCTCCTGGAAGCCCACTTTCATTGTGAAACCGGATGGTGGCTGTCAGGGTGACGGAATCTACCTCATTAAAGACCCCAGTGACATCCGCCTGGCAGGCACCCTCCAGAGCAGGCCAGCGGTGGTCCAGGAGTACATCTGCAAACCTCTCCTCATCGACAAGCTCAAGTTCGATATTCGTCTGTATGTCTTACTGAAGTCCTTAGAGCCCTTAGAGATTTACATCGCCAAAGATGGACTGTCTAGATTCTGTACAGAGCCATATCAAGAGCCCAACCCCAAAAATCTGCACCACATCTTCATGCACTTAACCAACTACTCCCTGAACATCCACAGCGGGAACTTCATCCATTCGGACAGCGCCAGCACGGGCAGCAAACGGACCTTTTCTAGCATTCTTTGTAGGTTGTCTTCCAAAGGCGTGGACATCAAGAAGGTCTGGTCTGACATCATCTCCCTGGTGATCAAGACTGTCATCGCCCTGACTCCGGAGCTCAAAGTTTTCTACCAGTCGGACATCCCCACGGGCAGGCCAGGGCCCACGTGCTTCCAGGTAATCATTGCCAGTTCCCCAGCCCGAGCTCCCAGCTGTGACCAGGCCTCTAGAAGGCTCCCTGGCCTCAGGGAGGATGAGGGGTGGTGATGGGATGGCCAGAGGTGGGAGTAGCGAGGTTGCTGGTATAGACTTTGGTGTTAAACCCAGGTCCAACTCCCAGTTTTCTATTTGCTAGCTGTGTGGTTTGGGGCAAGTGACTTCCCTTCTTTTATCTGTAAAATGAGGTGAATCGCACATACCTTAAAGGATTCTTGTAAGGATGAAATGAGGTAACACATGAAAAGCAGAGTGTCATTCATTCATTCAACAGTTTTTACCACCTGCTCAGTGGGGGTCAGGCACTGTCATAGGAGCTAGTGAGACACTAAGCCAGGCTTCCGCTGGCTGAGGAGTAGAGCCTACTATAGGAGACAGATCGTTCATAAACCAATACTGGTTGCTGTGCATTTGTGGAACCATCTAGCATTCTCTGGGTGGTCAGGGAAGGCTTTCCAGAAGAAATGGCAGTTTAATTAGAACCTGGAGTAAGAGTTAAATGAAGCAGGCAGGACTGGGTAGGGCTGGGGAAGGCAGAGTGTACTAGGTGGAGACATGTTTTAGCCTTAGAGGTGAGAGGAAGGCATGGCCTATCTGAGGCACTGAACGAGGCTGGGTACAGTTGGAGGATAGGGTTGGGGCAGAGATGTGGGAGGGGATGAGCAAAGATGAATTGGAAGAGGGAGGTGAGGAGGGCCAAGCCATGGAGACGCTGAGGGCAGTGAGGGCACTGAAGGATTTGAAGCAGCAAACAGATGCACTCCGATTAGTGTGTTACAAGGTGTCTGCAGGTTAGAGCACAGATCGAGGCGAGGCTGGGGGCAGGGAGGTCCCTAGCGAGAACATCATTTTCATGTAAGCAGCAGAGGGTGCTGGCTTGGATTAGAAAGGTCTTGGTAGAGATAGAACAGAGCCATCGAGGAGGTAGAATGGCCAGACTAGTGACTGGATGGGGCTGGGGGAAAGCAGAGAGATGGCGGCAGAGAGGGAAGGGGGCAACTGAGGCTGATTCACAGGTGGCTTAGCCACTTGGCCAGAGGGATAGAGGCCACGGGAAGAGAGTGAGGCTTGTGGGACTTGAAGGATTGAGGCCACTGGAAGAGGGAGAAGAGTTGGACTTGAAGTGCCTCTGTGACGCCCGAGTAGACAGGTTGAGTGGACAATGGGATATTTGGATATTTGGGCCTGGCATTCAGAAGTGGGAGGTCTGAACTCATGAGCATTCAGCTGGTGACTGAAGACAGCTGGAGGGTGAGGAGAGGTGCTGCCATTTAAGTGAGGGGAAGTCAAGGAGGGGGGGCACCACTTGAGGCCAGAAAGCAGTATCTTGAGATAGAGACGGGAGAGCAGGGGCGAAGGTGCCCAAAATGCCAAGGAAAGAGGGCTCAGAGAAACAGGAGGTGGGGCCAGCCACGTCGCTGATGAGATGGCCAGTGAGCCCAGCACCGCGGCTGTCCATTGTACTCACTCCAGGTCACGGGGGACTGCAGCGAGGGTGTGCTCCAGGGAGCCATGGGTGCAGGGGTCAGAGTGTGGGAGGGAGGAAATGGGGAGTGGGAGTCTGCACGTTCTTTCAGGTCATGTAGCTGTGAAGGTGGTGGGGGGGTGGGGACATGGAGCCCAGTGGAGCACCCCACAGGTACACTTCCTGCTACCAGGTGAATCAGATGGGGAGGAGAAGACGAGAAGGGCACTTCTGGGCCCCTTACCATCTTCTCTTTAAGATGACTTTGTAGGGGAACCGGCAGTTAGCGTAATGGCTATGTCGCTGGACTCCCACATAGTCGACCGCGGTTCGTGTCCCAGACCCGGTGGCTTAGAACTCACGCTGGGCGCGTGTGCGTGCGTGCCCAAGATCCTGAGAAAAGAATGGAGGAGAGGGGATTGCAGTGTGACCATCCCCCCCGGGGGGTGATTTCTTGCTTTCTGTCTCTATGTCTCTCTCTGTCTGGCGAGCACACGCGCCCTATAGCGAAAACCTCTCCAAAAAATAAAAAAAGTTGACTTTGTAGCAGCGGACTCCTGTTCGTAAGCCATGAAGCAGAACAATAAAACGGTCGTCCCAATCCCTCCTCCCGAGCCTAGGCTTCCACTCGTGTGCTTCCTCCTTATCCCATTTCCCTCCCCACCTCGGAGGTAGCCGCTTAGCCTGAATGTTATGTTCATCATGTCTTCACTTTCAAAAAACATTCTCTTTATTATCCATGACTGTATCCCTAAATAATATACTGGTTTGTTTTGCTTGGTTTTGTGTTTTATAAAAACACTGTTATAAAGTATGTAGTTTTCTGCAATACTCTTTGCCACGGCATGTTCCAAAGGTCCACGCTTGTTGAGGGGGTCTCGGTACTGTTTCATTTGCACTGTGTGTATTCCATTCCAAATATGCCCGGTTTATTTATCACTTCTATTGAGGAGCATCTGGGTTGTTCCGAGTCTGTGGCAGGAGGACGATGGCTAGCATGGAACAAAAAGTAGAAGTGGGGGAATGGGCTGCGTCTCTACTGGACAGCGCATCCACTCGACAGCCGAAGGGGAGGGTGCCCTGAAGTGCAACCCCAGAACTGCGCCACGCTCAGCGGGATTCCCAGGAGGCCTTTGGACAGGAAATGAGGCGGGGATAGCACCGGGAGGGGATAGTTGTCATCCAGAGATCTGCCCTTAGGCCCGGTCCCAGGCTTTTTTTTTTTTTAGAATTATCTTATTCAGGACCAGCAGTTATCGTAATGGCTATGTTGCTGAACTCCCTTGTAGCTGACCACGGTTTTAGTCCTGGAAACGGTGGCTTAAACTCACTCCAGGCACGTGTGCGTGCATGCACAAGATCCCAAGAGGAGAATGGAGGAGAAGGGATTGCAGCATGGCCATCCCCCCTGGGGGGTGATTTCTCACTTTCTGTCTCTCTGTCCCTCTCTATCTTTCTGGCGAGTACACACACCCTATAGCAAAAACCACTCCAAAAAAAGAAAAATTTTATTTAGCTTTATTTATTATTATCTTCCAGTTTGATCAGAGAGAGACAGAGAAAGAGGGAGAGGGAAAGTGAGAAAGCAAGCCACCAGGTCCAGGACTTGAACTGCGGTTGGCCATATGGGAGTCCAGCATCTTTAACCACCATACCACCTTCCAGCCCCCCAGGCCTTTGGTACCCAGGCAGAATGGGCAACTTGGCCATAAGGCAGGTGGTGGTTTCAGACCTTAGGAAAGGCAGAACTTAGAGAAAGGACTAGAGAAAACGAGTTTGGGCATGAGCCATCAGAAAGTCAGGGCAAAGGAGACATTTGCGACGTGGACTCATCCAGAGGTCATCCCAGGGGACTATGTGGCCACATCTGCTTGACAGTGACAGCTATTCCAGGAGTATCATGTGGGCCTGGCAGGAGGGCCAAGCCACAGAGCCCTGGCATGGTCAGAATGGCAGGGTAGAGGGCCAGGACGGCCGTTTCACTACTTGTCTTGCCATGGCCAGGCTGTCTGGGGTGGCCATCGGGGTGTAACCAGGGGCCCCAGCTGTGGGGAACCGGAGGGCAGACAGGGAGGGAGCCGCTGGTTTGGACAGATGATGTTCTGCAGACGGAACCACAGCCTTGTGACTGTCTCCACTGCTCGGCCACACTAAATGCTTCCAGCCCTGGGGTGAGACAATGAGCACGAGGTAGGATTGACTCAGGGGAGGACGCGTCCCCTTTTCAGCTGGGTGACCTTGGGCACTTTTCTTCACCACCCTGAACCTCTGTTTCATCTGCTGTTAGTCACCTCCACTCACTTCCTTCCCTCCCTGCCTCTGTAGGAGTGTTGTAACATTGGTGAGAGTGCTTTGACAAGGTATGAGGTATTAAATGTTTGAAATCCATTTTGAGGGGACCAGCAGGTAGCATGGTGGTTAGGGCATTGGCCTCCTACATGGCTGACTATGGTTCGAGTCCTGGACCTGGTGACTTGCTTTCTCACTTTCTACCCCCCCCCTCGCTCTGTCCCTCTCTAGTCAAATTAAAATAAATGAATAAAGTTAAATAAGATAATTCTTTAAAAAAAGAAAGAAAGAAAGAAATCCATTTTGAGCCAGCAGGTGGTAGAGTGGTTAAGGTGTTGGACTCCCATGTGGTTGACCGCGTTTCAAGTCCTGGACTCAGTGGCTTAAAACTCGTGCTAGATGCTTGTGTGTGTGTGCCCAAAATCTCAAGAGGAAAATAGAGGAGAAGGGACTGTGGTATGGCCATTTCCCCCTGGGGGGGGGTGACTTGTCACTTTCTGTCCCTCTGTCTCTCCAGTGAGCACATGTACCCCATAGCAAAAATCTCTAAAAAGAAACAAAAAGAGAAATTCGTTTTACCACACCTTCCAGATACTCAGTGACTGAGGGAAAGGGATATCCTTTTCCCCTGGGAGTCCTTACTCCCTGTATTCGGATCACTTGTTAGAACACTTGCTAGTTTGGGACTCAAATCACCTACACTCGCCCAGCCTCTGTGGCACCGTGGATAGGTACTGAACCGGAGTGCTGGAAGCCACGTGGCTAACTGCGAGTTTGGATCCCAAGCCCAGGCGACCTGGAACATAGCCAGGTGCATGTGCATGTGTCAGGTGAGCTGGAGGGCTGGAGGAAGGGGCTCACCGTGTAACCAGACCCCACTGAGGGTGCTTCTCTCACACACACGCTCGCACATATACTCACTGTATAGTGAGTAATGATAATAAAATAGCTGAACTGACTTGGAACCCAAAGATTTAGGGACATTGAGGTAACCTGGCATAAGTCACTTAACGTCTCTGTGCCTGTTTCCTCACTCACCTCACAGGCTTGGTGCCCAGCTCTAATGAGATGAAGTTATGAAAGGCTTTGCAAACTGAAATGTCCGGCAGATAGAGTAAGTTATTTCTTTGCCATAAAGCCCTTCCCCCTCATAGCCTGGGCCTGGGCCAGACTGCAGCATTCCAGAACATAAACTCTGGTCAAAACA